TTCCTAAAATATTTTTATCTACTCATCTGATGCAGTATTAAATATTTTAAATAGAATATCTTTCAAATATTATCTTTTAAATATCTTATAAACAAGTTGAATAGGTTCTTAAATACTTTCAATTAGTTTATTTTTGAACATAGGGATTGATTCTGTGATGTTTCTAATTTCTTTCATTGTATTTGCTCTACTGAGAAGTTTTTTATAATTATCTTCTATTTTATTATATATTAGCCCTATACTTTGCAATTCTAGATTTAGTACTGATTTAATATGTTCAATAGGATTTTTCTACAAGTGATATAATAGTGTTTTTACTGCAACAAAATAATTAAGATTAAGCTCTAAAAACAAACAAATATATGCCAATTAAACTCTAACAAATATATATCTATGATCAAGCTCTCTATTAGTATATAGCATAATACAGGTTTGCTTATTTTTTGTATCCAAGGGATATTAAATAGTTTTGTCATATGTCATAAAAAGGAGAAAAATTGTAATATAAGATCCTTTAAACAGATATTTACCTTATTTATGTAGAAATTACTATTAATTGTTTTTGAAATATTATATAGTATTGTTACACTTGGTACTATCCTAGTTTTGGTATAATCATAGTCACTAACTACAAAGATTATATCTTTTCTAACAATAACTTGTATACCTTTTTCTACTGCTGCTACTAAATACCTAAGCTCTCTAATTTTACATCAATATTTGTTATCAATAAAACAAGTATTAAAATATTACAAAACCTAGCTGCAAATTCTTTCTCATATTGAAATAATGCAGATATATAATGTGTATTTAGATAATCTGCATGAACTGCTGAGCTTATACTATAAATTTTAATAGTAGATAACCTGTATAAATAGTTATAAAATTATTGTAATTTTGCATAATTTTATAGTATTTGTATGAAATAATACTTATAAATATTATTTTATACAAATATAGTAGTAATTTTGTGGTAAGTTTTGGTAAACTAGTTTTCATATAATTG